TGAGCCAGAGAGTTTAGTTTTTCTCATTAAATGAATGAACATCACTGTATAACCCTGTTCAGAGGTGTTATAAAATCTTATATTTCCCAAAGCTGCTGGAAAAAAAAAAAGACTTGCTGTCAAATTTTGGTCCACTCCAACTCATACTGGAACCAGGAGGGTGATATATCCTAGCCAGGAAGGATTGAGATGAGCAGGACAAAAATAAAGAGGGGGGGGTAGTTGGGGGTGTGTGATAGAAACAGATCGGCGTGCTAATGCTAATTTCCTTGTGTTCTTCTCCGTTGATGGGGGGATAAACAGGAAGCGTTGTGGTAAATTCTGCCTGAAGAGTGTGATTACTGACAGGCCTGACCCCTGTGCTCTCGCCATGTTTTCCCATAACTCACAATTAACGCAGACATTAGAGCATCCCGAGAGGCCCGGCTGGCTTTATTTCCCTCCCCGCCAGAAAGCGGGTAGCGGCACTGAGGCCCCTGGACCCAAGCCCAGTTCTATGATTTAGCTGGAGAGAGAGGAGAGGATGGAGGGAGGTGGTGGTAGAGGGTTACCCTGAGCACACTTTAGCACTTTAGGGGTTTAGGGCTGTTATGGATATGGCTGTGGTAATTACTCAGTGCTTGTTATTGCCCACACTGCCACACCTGCGGCCGGCAAAATGCCGGTACAACGCCGGAAGGCGTCCAACAACATCTGAAGAATGTCAAGGATGGTATCAAGCTGGATTAGCCGGTGTACAGCCAGACATAAACACAAACACTCCTGAAGAAATAATGGTTTTAATTAGGTTGCTTTGTAATCACACAAAACTTAGCAGTCAAAGGCTTTACATTGTTATGTGTTATTTTGGACAGGTGAGTTTTGGCGCAGTCGTTTTATTCGGGAAAATAAATGAGCACCTGTTCTTCGTCGTGTCAAACTCAATCTCACGGCTCGTTAGTGGGGCCCCTGCCCAATAACCCAGCTTTAGCGCCGCTTTGGCTCCTAATTCCCATCTCTGGGCTGTCACACAGTGTCATCGCCACAGTCATTCATGTTTTTATTCATTTCACATTTCATCATTTATTTATCGCCTAGCCAGGCTGGCACACTAACACTAGGACCTCAAACAGGAGGTATGGAGGGGCTGACAGAAGACAACATTATTTCTCTGGAAAACCCAATGACCACTGACAGTGAAGGAAGCAGAAGATGCAAGCTAGCTATTTCAAAAGACTTTTTATTTTAATAAGTAGCATCCCATAACTGTGAGTCCACTCTATGTTGAGTGTAAAAGAGAAATCTGTAAAGACAACTGTCAGATTTTATTCCATGCACACAGTAAAGGAAGTAATATGATGTAATATATGACATATATATATATAATAGTAATATTGATTAGTAGAATAGTGTGGGTATAAACAAGAGTCTAAAGTCAAGCTTGTGAGGCTGGAGCAGCCAATGTTAAGAAAACAACACTGTTTAGATAAAAGCTGAGGTCCCAGATTTGTTTGTGCTGTTTTGCTGATGTTTAGTTCTGATGAAATACAGTTAATGTAATAACTTGCCAGGAGGTGGTGTCAGAATGAAGGTCTCTGTCCTCCCATGTTAATCATGTAGTAATTTATCATGTTGTGACAATGAAAGTGTTAAGAGATGTTTTTGGCAGTTGTTACCATGTTTTTTGAGAAGAGTGGTCATCATGTTAAGTTACTACCAATCCGCAAATGTAATATATGTACATATATTTAATTTCCATTCATGACATAGCACATGTAACAATTATATATGAAACCTATTAGAAACTGGAATCATTTCATATATTAACATATATTTCCAGCCCTTACAAATATGTATGTTTATGTATGTAAGCTTTTATTGTTAACATATGTTACGTACATATATATATCCATCCCAAACCCTGTCAATATATGTTGATATAATAAAAATGAGAAATTAATTAAAAAACGATATATAGCAGCATATAGAATTTTTATATACAGTATATGTTGTTTTAAGAAACTTGCATATATTAAAAAAATATATATAATATATATAAGATTTAATATTATTAACATATATGGATACGCAACATGTTATACCATTAAATAATTAAGCATATAGATATTTGTGATATACGTATGTACATATACAAATACTTTTTAAGTACCTTATGAGTATTTCATATATGTTATAAACTTATTAAACTCTTCATATATGCTGAGGATGTTTATATGTGATAATGTAGGTGATGTATATGGCAACATCACTCTTGATATCGGTAGTATATATCATATATTACATATCTTTACGGGTAGTGAGATTTCACGATATTACAGGAAGTGGTGAGTGAGCAAAGATATGAAAAATTAGAATTTAAAGAATGAATAATATATAATATGGATGCTGGTTTTCATATGTGTTAACTCTGTAAACCTCATCAGTGTTTGCATCAACGTGTACCACTGTTAGCGTCTTAGCTTAAGGTAATTAGCACGAAGCAAAAAGAACAGCTGAGGCTGACGGGAATATCATGAAGCTTTAAGGTATCTGTTCATAAACTAAAGTATTGATGATGGTACTGGATGAAAGGTCAGTCAGTCATAAATGTCTGCACCAAACTGCAAATCCATCCAGCAGTTACTGAGACATTTCACTCTGTCAGGGGATCACAACAGTCAGCAGGATTCATTGTGTGGAGAACATGAATGTCTGTACAAACTGCCATGGCAATCCAGTAGTTGTTGAGACACTTTGCCCGATTGTCTATCTTGCCATCGTTGTGTATGTGTTTGGACTGACTGTGTTCCTGCTGTACCTTTAAATAAAGGTGAACCGTTTGAACTTTTAATCTGTGTCTCAGTGTTTTCTGACCCGTGACACATTTCTTGCCCTGGGTTTTGCCTCTCAGGTTACAAACAGGCTGCTCTACATTATTGGAGAAGGATGGTGAGGCTGACTGCAGCCTGAATATTCAGGGCTGAAAAAGATGTGTCCACTGTTGTTTTTTTGGGTTAGAAAAATCCTTTAATCTATATTTTTAATTACAGTTAATATAATCCTAAAAAGTCAAAAATAAGATTTGTAGTAAAAGTTGTAGTAAACATTATCTATCAGAAAATATTAGGAATTAACTAAGGAAACTATAATATAATTAAGTATGAGTATAGTTACAATACAGAGGTTACCTATAATCTATGTCTGTGCTTATTTGGAAGTTTTACCAAATACTAGTAAACTCAACATCCTTATATATATGATTCAATGAGGTCTGGTCAATAAGAGAAGACACAACATCAGACAAACGATTAATAGGAAATAAGGTAATTCAGAACACATGGCACCAAACTCAGCCCGTAATATTTTCACATAGTTTCAAGCATACAGTACATCTGTATAAACATGTAGTGTTGAATAAATGTATCCTTCACAGTCTTTGCCTGTGTGCAGTGGTTTATATCAGATGTCTGAATGTTGAGAGGGAGGTAAATGCCCTTTACTCCCTCCACCCTCCTTCCTCCCACCTCCCACCCAGGTAACAGAGCTGTCACCCTGGTCTTAACCAGATCTGAAAGCATTAACACCCTCGCCCCGCGTGCTCTGTCCCAGGAGACCTGGGCCGCGGACGACAGCAGCGCCGCCCTCCAACCGCCGCGCCTCCGCCAGCGCTGGCACATGATGATCGGCTCGGCAGGGCTGCGTGGCGCAGGGTTTGCATGCATTGGCAGCCGTGTCCAAAGTCACTCGGCAGGCCTTGGCGAGGAGCCAGTCAGTTGAGCCAAGGCCAATAATAAAAAGACAGCCAGAGAGGAGGGGAGGGAACAAGGGACAGATGAAGAGAGAGAAAAGTAGACCAGCATTTCCTCTTTCATTTAGCTGTCCAACTGTTTTCTCCCTCTTCCTCTAATTGACAGAATAAATGCACCTGCCACTGTGGGGCATCACAGAAATGAGTTGGCTGGAGGAGTGCAACCCAAGGGTCAACTGCATCCCATTTTTCTTTTACTTCCCTAACCCTTCAACTACAGCGTGGTTGTTTTACTCAATAGTGAGTTATAGTGAGTTTGATCTATGCAGTGGTATTCCTGATCTCTTATGGTTTACAAATGTTCTCATTGTCCCTGACAATCAGACGTTTGCTATGTACTCATATGTGGCATGGTATGGTGTAAATTTTATTCATATGGAATGAGCTACACATGGATTAAGAAGGAAACTGACTGCACAAGTGTCTACAACGGTTACTTGAATCATAGAAAATGTTTATCCATTTTTAATCATCACAACCTCAAATATCTTAATGAAGAGTGGCGTTCATCCTCCAGTGGAGTTCACAGACTTGGAGAATCAATGCCGAGGAGCATTGAAGCTGTTGTGGCAGCTCGTCGCGGAACAACACCTTACTAAGACACTTTATGTTGGTTTTACCTTTCACCTGAGACTCGTCCATAAGTGCAAAATGGAAAACTATAAAAAAAAAAAATTAAAAAAAGAAAAGAAAAATAATTCAACAGTAAATTAACCCTAATGTTCAAGTAAATGGATAAAAAAAAAGTGTAAACATTAATATATTGTTTAACAGCAGCGTACTGATGGAGATATGCAGATATCGTACTGGATGGCCGAGGAAGGAAGGACCTCTTGAGTGTTGAGTGGAGCACTTAGTCATTCTGAGTCTCTGGCTAAACATGCTCCTCTGTAACCAGAGCACCGTGGCCCGGGAGGGAGATGATGCCCATGATGGACAGTAGTTTTGACATCCTTTTCTCTGCAACTACACACAGATGGTCCAGCTCCACCCCCAGGACTGAGCTTGTTGAGCCTGTTGGGTCAGCCACCCTCAGTCTTCTGCCCCATCAGAGCACGGTGTAGAAACATTCGCAGCATGGTGGCACAGACTTTGAAGGACCAGAGCTTTTAGAGGAAAAAGAGCTGACTCTGGCCATTCCTGTAGAGAGGGTTCCTGGTCTAGTCCAGTTTGCTGTCCAGGTGTACACCCTACCATCGCCACCATCTCTCCCCTAATGGAAACGGGAGTAGCAGGAGTCCTGGATCTCCACCACCAGCTCTTTGACAGGTGACAGCTGCAGCTCGCACCAGTCCACAAAAGTGTCCACCACACTCTGGTACTCTTAACACAAGGTGCTGGAGAAATCAAAGAGCATGACTCTTTGGCCCACAAGCCCCCCCCCAGCCTGTCCAGGTGGTTGAGGGCACAGTGGAGCAGGTATATGAGGGCTTATATCTCCTCTTCTCCGACAGTCAGACAGAATCTGTGTGTCCTCCTCCTGATTTCTGCAAGGATGTCTATTACTGGTTGCTATGCCAGCCAGTGTCAGCGTGATCAGATGGTTCCTGCTGTAAACAATGCAACTGTGGAGTAGATATGACTAGATAGATAGATAGATAGATAGATAGATAGATAGATAGATAGATAGTTAGATAGATAAAAAAAATGACTTCTCACTCCTGTCACTTTCATTCATTACAATATTTACTTTTTTTAAAAATAAAAAAGATTTTAGTTGTGGCCTGAGACAGAATTTCAGAGGAAGCTGCATGTAAGTGTAAAAAAGAAAGAACAAGGTTTACGTCGTGTGTGCAAGTGTGTGCTTATGCTTTGATTCATGCTGTTGTGTGCATGTGTGTGTTAAGGCGTCTGTGTGTTTGGGGATGGCGGAGGGGAGGGATGGCGGAGGGGAGGGGAGGGTGGGGGTGGACTGGACAGATTCCGACGCATAATTTAAATTTAATTGGACCGGGCCTGACTGGCTAGGGTCAAAATGAAGAGAAAATCAGTCACATTNGGATGGCGGAGGGGAGGGGAGGGTGGGGGTGGACTGGACAGATTCCGACGCATAATTTAAATTTAATTGGACCGGGCCTGACTGGCTAGGGTCAAAATGAAGAGAAAATCAGTCACATTAATCAAGATAAAATTATCAGCTGATTAATCAGTGTTCTAATTATGGTTCCGGCGCTTCTCTTCTTTGTTCTGTTTAAATTAGTCTGCGTCATTGTCTTTTCCATATGGCCAGCATGTCCCCCTTAAAATGCCCAGTGAGCACAAACACACACACACACATACACACACACACACACTAACACATCACCACTAACTGCAGAAATAATTAGTGCATGTTTAAATATGCTCTGTAATGCCTCACTTCGTTCCTCCTGTCCTGCACATTTACAGTATGTTTGTCAGGAACTTTGCTTTCAACCAGTATGTCTCACAAAGAGAATAAAAAAAAATGAACAAACCTGAGTTTAATCTTTACCTAGGTTCAGTGTTGAATGTTAAAATGCACCTTTTCCGAGTCTGTCATGTGCCAACACCATTTCTGAGTCACTTTTCACTTTGCTTTAAGGAGTCTTCATGGAAATGAAAGTAAATCAATGGATGTCAGTGAGGAGTATGGCCATTTAAAAACAGAAACAAAAAGTGGCAGTACTGCCTGATAAATGTTAAATTAATAGCCTCAAGTACCTACAGATGTCGAAAGGAACTGGATTTTGTGCAAAGTAAGATTATAATGTTCCATTTCTGAACAACATGTAGGCTTCTGTATAAGTTTAAGACAGAAATACTGAAGGAAAGCAGCTGTTTTTTTCCTCTCTCAGATTTCCGTCTGAGCTGTCTGAAAGCTGTCGATGGTTGCAACGGGATCCAGAGTATCTTCATGTAATCGTGTCTCTGTAGACTACACTCACAGAAGTCCCTCTGATTCCGCACAAGGGCAGCTAGCTTGTCCATCTTGTTGTCCAGTGATCTTACATTGCTCATGAGGACAGAGGGCAGATCAGACTTACATCGCCTCTTGTCCATCAGTCTCTCTTGTCTGGACCCAGCTCTCTTCCCTTGTAGCTGCATTCCTCCTCTGCATCCTCAGTGTGTCCTTCTGATTCCTGCAGTGATTTCCATTACTCGTTACTGGTCCCTGCTGTAAATAATGCAACCATAGAGTTACTGCGCAATGGTACCATAGTTAAATCATAGCATTCAAAAGAATAGCTGAATGAAAGCGCCAGATACAAGTTAAAAGATTTCCTTCATAAAATAGCTTATTGAAGTTTTACATTTGGTACATCCACAAATGAAAGAAGTCGGGAACTACCAGGACTCTTCCTCTTAGCCGCTCGGCTAAACTGAACAATCAGGGGAGAAGGGCATTTGAAAGAGAGGTGACCAGGAACCTGGTGGTTACTGTGGCTGAGCTTCAGAGATCCTGTGTGGAGATGGAGAAACTTCCAGAAGGAAGGAGGAGAAGTATTGAATTTTTGGAGTGGGTCAGTATTGGTAGGCTACATTATTACAGTTGCTGTAATAACCCTACCCCTACCTAACCCTTGTCTTATAAGCCTATACCTGACGTTGACCCTTGTACTTGTGTTACTCAGAATCTCACTTTGTCTCATCCTTGATCAAACTCCAAATACCTTTTTGTGACTGTGGTGAACCTCTGTGCTTCTGTATGATGGCCTTAATCAGGCTTTTGGATGGTTGCAGAGGGTTAATCTTAAGAATTTGTTTAAGCTTAGAGGCAGTTGTGTCTCCAGCTCTTGGTCGATACCAATTCCTGCATTCACCCTGGCTTTGAGCTGCCCTCTCTACAGCTATGGACCTGAGAAGGGGTGGGCTCTTCTAGCTGACCTCTAGCACAACAAGCTTTTCAAAATACAACACATCGGTAAAGATTAAACCAGTGGTTTCCAACTTCTGACGTCTTGTAAAAAGCAGTGTCGCCTGAGTCACATCTAATGCCAGTGAGCAGTTAGCAGCTCCACAAAATGATGATTTTTCCCCGTTTAAAACAGCTGGAAAGCGTTTGTACTTTGTACATGGTAGGTCAAGGATCTCATCATCTAAGATTTCTTGCAGTTTACTCTATCTTTAGCTCTTAGCTTGTGAAGCTCTTCCTGCCATGCTACCAGCGCTATCATGTGCTAACCATCAGTGAATGTGAACAGGGATGGAATAAGTTAGTGAATAAAACATGTTCTGTTGCTACAGGGGCTCCACATTAGGTAGGGCAAAGTGGTGATTAGTAGACCTATCAGAATTTGCACAGCAATTCCCATCACCACTTTCTCCATCGTTTCAGTGTTACTCTCTCTTTTTTTTACTCTCTATCTCTTTCCTCCATTTAAATCCTGCCTTTGTTTTCTCTTCTTTTCTTTATCATCTGCCCTTTATCTACTGAGTAATGTATTGTAGTTTTTTTTTTCTTCGTGCTGCTATATTTCCACAGAAGTTTACAGGGTCCATGAATCTCAGCAATAAGTCTTGTGTAGCTTTGTCATCTTTTAATTTTCTTGATCATATTCATTTGAAATTGAAAGTTAAACTGTGATTTGTGTGGATATAAAAGGAAACAAGAAAATTGTGCTGTGGAATTGAGTTCAATCAATGACGTCATAAATGAGCCTAACATTTTCCTTTTTGAATGTTTTTTTTTCTCCCCCACACAGGACATATAGTTATCTATAGGTTCAGTCACACAGTAATTAAAAGATTAATTAATCAATTATTTCAGAGCAAATCAATTCATTTAACAAAATCACCAGGATAAGGGAAGTAAATCTGAGCCTTCGCTTCAAATTCAACTTTGGCTCGCAAGATTGCACCATTAAACAAGATGCAGTCTATTATCCAAAGTGCTGCTCTAAAAAAGAGGCATGGTTATCAGAAATGACAAGTAAATGCAACAAAAATGTGTCTTGGATGAAGTGTCTGTTTGAAGATGGATGTACTTTAGCCTAAAACTGCAGATTTGATTGTGTGAGGATCAAAATGCTATGTATAGATAATATAGTATTACATTTAGGTTTAATTAACCTTGAAACATTGGACTCAGACAGTAATGAAGCATTCATGATAGTTTGGTTTTTCAGGCAATCTCATTTTACAAAAGGGGAATTTTAATAATAATAATAATGATTTCGATTTTTAAAGGGTACCCAAGGCGGCTTTACGGAGTAAGAAGACACAAAGTAAATGAATAAAACAAATAAATATAGACAAGACAAGACAGAATAAGAATGGCAATGATTTTACATATTAAAGTCTGTTTATAGGTGTTGGAGAATACTACTGCACATACAAAGTTGTATAAAGCCTCCAGAGGGAGCTCTGCGAAAATAAGGGATGGTACTTGAGTCTGATGACTACAAGTTTGAAAATGAAAGAAATCTGAGGGTGTGAAGTTAGAAAGATCTGAGTAGCCCACTCCTTATCGCTGCTTGACACTCCAGGCAACATTAGCCACTACTAGCATAACACACTCGAAATCTCTGACAGAACTGTTAGTGGTTGAGTTGTATTGTGGGTCAAGGAGGGGCCAGGTTTTGCCGAGGAAGTAGAATGCATGCAGTGAAAAACACATCTCTGGTTCTGCTTTTTAAACTGTCCAACGATGTTACAGGAGTACAATGCTAAATCGGTGGAGTAGTACTTTAAATGCCAAGTCACATATAACGAAAATCTGTTTCCTATTCATAATTATGACTTGTATGTTGATGTAAACTCATGTATCACGTGAATAAGTCATTAGTTTGCCAGCTAAACAAAAAAGTCACTACATCTTCAAGCTTCTGGAGCCACTTACAGATGAACTTAGCTGGTCCACTTTCTTGTGTGAATAGGCCTTAATGCTGTATGCAGATGCTGTATGATACTAGCCCAATATACCCTTACTGTGACTTGAGGTCCCAATGTGAGGCCCTTAAGGTTTGCATGGGTTTAGGTTGTCCAATTTTGGTTTATTGGTTTGCAATAGTAGTCCAGAAAGCCATCATATGCTGTATTGTAATCTTTGGTGAAGTAAAATTACATTAAATTTACATTAAAAAATCAACAAAAAAACAGAACAGACAGTTTCCAAAACAGACAACCATAAGAGTCATTTGAAACAGGATATCCAGGTAATAAGAAATCCATTTTATTTATTTTACCCTAAATTCTGTGTTAGATTGTTCCACTTTTATAAACACATTAACATATATACATCCTTTGAGTTGTGACATAGGCAATAGACTGAAACACTGCAGCTTGGGTTTTATTGAGTTGTCAGTGTGTCGGAGTTGAATCAGACCACTCACACCAGCGCTGGCGACCAAACCTCTCTGC